GGCAGGTTGTTCCACTGATTAATTGGTCTCACTGCCAGGAAATTTCTCCTTAGTTCTAGGTTGCTTTTCTGCTTGGTTAGTTTCCATCCGTTGCTTCGTCCTGCCTTCAGGAGCTTTGGAGAATAGCTTGACTCCCTCTTCTTTGGGGCAGCCCCTGAGATATTGGAAGACTGTTATCATGTCCCCCCTGATCCTTCTCTTCCTTAAACTAGACATACCCAGTTCCAGCAACCATTCCTTATATCTTTTAGCCTCCAGTCCCCTGATCATCGTTGTTGTTCTTCTCTGCACTGTTCTTGGGTTTTAGAAGCCCATCCCGTGCCTCTGGAAAGGAGATACCTTGTTCTTTAAATGGAATGGCAAGGTTGCTTTTTCAAACTTAGCTGATGGCCTTGGGAACAATTCTGCGGACTTTCGGACACGGGGTGGAGGGTCCTTCAATCAGTGGCTTCAAACCAGATCAAAGCTCCTCATAGTTCTTGTCTCCAGCACTGCATTTTAAGGGCATTAATGCGGTGGACAGCCTAGGCCACCTCCATCCATTCATGGACACCCTAAGCCACCTCCCCTGGCTTGTCCTAGATAAGACAAGAGCAATCAAGGCATTCCACCTGGGCAGGTGTCAAGGTGGCTGAGCGAGGTTGCACTTTTCTACCTCTTATATTTTTTCCTGCACAAATCACATAGAAATTTTGCTAGTACGTGAACCGAAAAGGAATAGGTGCGACGTTGGGCTCCTAAATTTCCCTCCCTCACTGGCTAAAAACTTAGCATATCTTCCCGTTTCTCCCTCCATCTTTTTTCAAAAAAAATCCTGCTAAAAATGATTTTATTTTTACCTCATAAACATTTACCTCATAAATATTTACCTCATAAACATTTACCACATAAACTTTGGGTTTCTCCTTTTAAAGCTTTGGACAATGGACCCCTTCTAGGGATGTGGCCGTCTCTTTTCTTACAAAAAACTAAATAAATAACCTTTTTTATTTCCATTTTTTTAAAAAAACCTTTTTCGATGAATCTGTGGCCGAAGCAGACAATCCGTGCCCAGGGGGTGAAAAGATGCTCTGGGCTGCCCTCAGCTTAGAAACGGCGGCGTGTTTGCCCCTGTAAAAGGTAATGGTCCTTAGCCACGGCCGCCTGGTATAATAGGAGAATCTGTCAAATTTCCTGGGATTACCATGTTCATTGATTTGTGTCTGTAAAATCTGCTGCCTCTCCCCTCTTAAGCTTGATCTATAATTGGGCTCCCTTAAATGGTGGAGATCAGATCGTCTGCATTTTCTCCGCCAATGTCACTGTCAGCATCTGCCTTTTCATTATACATTCAGCAGACGTGATAAAACCAGCAGGTCCTCTCATTTGAAACGGGTTTAATCGCCGTCTTTTCTCTTCTTCCGTCTTCTTACTAAACCGTCCGAGGTGGTCAAGCGATGTACACAAATCATTTTAAATGGAGAAGGAGCTGGCTAGCTGACCCCGTTAAAGACAGAGCCGTATGCAAAACAAGTTAAAAAGGCATAAATGCCAAAAAACACACACACACCCATCCCTCCTAATTGGTATAAAAAATTGTGGGCAACTTTATGTGTTACCTCCCCCCCCCCCAAAAAAAAACCACCGGAGTGGGCTGAAAAATTGTCAACGCAAAGCAGATTAACTTTGGTGGAGGGTTTGGTTTTTTTTGGAACGAAGCAGGATTAAGGTGGTTGATTCTTTGCCGGTTTTTTAAAATGTGTGTTTGCTGGTGATGTGCGTGAATTTGGGGGTCACCCTTGAAGAAAGAGGGGAGGCTTTTATTGGGCCATTTTAAAATTTCTTGGAAGCTGGCAGAGCCCTGATTGGACGTTTGGACCATTCTCAGATTTTTCGTAAGCCCTCTTTTTTTTTCTGCTGGCGTAAAGGTGTTTAAAGTTCGTGCTTAGTTCGTCTCAAAAGCTTACAGCAATGGGTGTTTTAATCCTGAACCCAAGAAGGACTAAAACAAAATTTGAAGCACCACTTCAGAGGTGCTGAAGGACTCGGCTGCTCCTGATGGGATTTGGACTCCTTTCCTTTGAAGGACCCCAAGTTAGGGTGGGAGGCCTGCTCATTCTCCAAAGGGGAGTGCTTCAAGACCCTTCTGCTTACCTTGGGCTGGCAGATGTTGGCAGGACGGCATCCCGGGCCCTTTTCTTAGGTTTCTGAATTCTTAAAGTTTTTGGAAAATGCTCTGGGCTGCCTTGTGAGCAGCACCCTGTCAAAGCAAGGCTACATGTTACTCTCTCGTTAGTTCTACCTTTACATAAGCAGGAGCAATGCTTCTATTTTTTTTAAAAAAATAACTGTGTTATATAGTTCAGGGTTGACATCCCTCTTCCTTTTTTCTAGATAGATTAGATAGATAGATAGATAGATAGATAGATAGATAGATAGATAGATAGATAGATAGATAGATAGATAGATAGATAGATAGATAGATGAGAGAGTGACGTATAGATAGATAGGTAAATAGAGATGGAGGGAGGGAGGTAGATAGAGTGATGTAGATAGCTATAGATAGATAAATGAAAGAATGATATAGAGATGGATGAGAGAGATAAGTAAATAGAGGGAGGGACGTACGTAGATAGAGTGATGTAGATGTAGATAGGTAAATAGATGAGAGTGATGTAGAGATAGATAGATAGATAGATAGATAGATAGATAGATAGATAGATAGATAGATAGATAGATAGATAGATAGATAGATAGATAGATAGATAGATGAGAGGTAGGTAAATAGAGATGGAGGGAGGTAGATATAGATAGATAAATAGATGAGAGATGTAGATATAGATAGATGATAGATAGATAGATGATAGATAGATGGTAGGTAGGTAGGTAGATAGGAGAGTGATATAGATAGATAGATAGATAGATAGATAGATAGATAGATAGATAGATAGATGAGAGGTAGGTAAATAGAGATGGAGGGAGGTAGATATAGATAGATAAATAGATGAGAGTGATGTAGATATAGATAGATGATAGATAGATAGATGATAGATAGATGGTAGGTAGGTAGGTAGGTAGATAGAGTGATATAGATAGATAGATAGATAGATAGATAGATAGATAGATAGATAGATAGATAGATAGATAGATAGATAGATAGATAGATAGATGAGAGAGTGACGTATAGATAAGTAGGTAAATAGAGATGGAGGGAGGGAGGTAGATAGAGTGGTAGATAGATAGATAGATAAATGAAAGAATGATGTAGAGATAGATGATAGATATATAGAGAGATAGATAGATGAGAGGTAGGTAAATAGAGATGGAGGGAGGTAGATAGATATAGATAAATAGATGAGAGTGTTGTAGATAGGTAGGTAGGTAGGTAGGTAGATAGATAGATAGATAGATAGATAGATAGATAGATAGATAAGAGATAGAGATATGAGAGAGAGATAGGTAGATTCAAAGAGAAAAAAAATTGAAGAATAAGGGGGAAAACTCTACAAACTTAACGACTCTTCTCTCCTTCGGTGGGTTTCAGGTTCGGGATCCCTGGCAGCCATGGCGGTCTTCGAGGACAAGTTCAAACCTGAGATGGAGGTAAGCCCCACCCACTCCTCCCCCAGACCTTCCTTTGTGGGACTGCCAAAGTCCTGCACGATGGCTGACGGCCAGTTTTCACTCATCCGAGGGACGGGATTTCCCAGCGTTGGTTCAGTTATCGGCGGCGTGGGGGGGCAGCTTCTTCCGAAACCTCCACCCACCTCCAGGCCGAGTCCCTGGGGTCGAAAAGGCCTTGATCGCTCCCCCCCACTTCCCAATTTGTCACGGGGGGGGAGGGTTTGAGACCCTCTCCCATTAAAGCAGACGCAAAGCCAGATCCGTACCGCCTCTTCTAAAGTCCACCACATCACAGAGCAGCGATTCAAAGGCACACCGTCCTGCACCCCTCCGGTTTCGACTCGCAAATTAGCATCTGGAATCTAATTAGACAAGCTTAATGAAAGCAGCAGCTGAAGATTGCTGGAAAAGACAATCAGACGGGTTTTTTCTCTCCCCCCCCTCCACCTCCGCACCCCCCCCCCTTTCCCTCTGATATGTATTCCCTGCTCCTGAAGCCGCGCTCGGCAAAAGCCTTCTGTGTTAAAAAAAAAGAAATTAGCATTTATTTGAAGGCGAGGAAACTGGTGGGGGGTGTTTTTTACCCCCCCTTCTTTCCCCACCCCACCCCACCCCCTCTTCTCCCCGCCCTGCCTTTGCTGTGCTTTTGGCATCCCCAAGAGAGCCGGTGCGGCAGCAATCCGGGCGCACAATATTTATTTATATATACATATAAAAAAAATCGGTGACAGGCAATAATAGCGAGTTGGGGGGGGGGAAAATGCCTTTTGCCGGAATTTTGCGTCGAGAGCTGAAAGGATCCAACCTTGGGCCTGGCAGCTGTGGCGTGGCCTACAGGGCGAAGAGCGGGCCGCCGCACGATAAGTTGCCAGAGTTTCTGCTTCTATAATAATAATTATAATTATAATAATTATAATAGTGATGATGTTGGAAGGGATCTTGAAGGTCGTCGAGTCCAACCCCCCTGCTCAGCACGGACTTGGGATGCTTTCATTGTTGTGACTCTGATCGATGCTTTGATTGATGTGGAGACTTTGGGAAAAGTGCAGAGGAGAGGAACTGAGACGATTAAAGGCGTGGAGACTAAAACGTATTATATAATATAATAATAAAGTTGGAGGTCATCTAGTCCAACCCCCTGCTCAGGCAGGAAGCCCTATACTATTTCAGACAAATGGCTGTCCAGTCTCTTCTTGAAAACTTCCAGTGTTGGAGCATTCACCGCTTCTGGAGGCAGGTTGTTCCACTGGTTAATTATTCCCACTGTATGAAGGTTTCTCCTTAGTTCTAGGTTGCTTCTCTCCTGGATTAGTTTCCATCCGTTGCTTCTTGTCCTGCCTTCAGAAAGTGCTTTGGAGAAGAGCTTGACTCCCTCTTCTTTGGGGCAGCCCCTGAGATATTGAAACACTGCTATCATGTCCCCCCTCGTCCTTCTCTTCATTAGACTAGACAGACCCAATTCCAGCAACCGTTCCTTATATGTTTTAGCCTCCAGTCCCCTGATCCTCTTTGTTGCTCTTCTCTACACTCTTTCTAGAGTCAAGAAAGCTCACACCAGCGGGGCCCATGCTCTCCTCCTCCTCCTCCTCCTCCTCCTCCTCCTCCTCCTCCTCCTCCTCCTCCTTCTCCTTCTCCTCCTTCCCCCTCCCACCAAGTCTGCTGCCAAGCCTGACAATCACAGTTCCCGAGGCTACCAGTCAACGAAACACTGTTTTTCTCCAGCACCAGCCTTCCTGGGAAGGTGGAGACGCGAGCATCTCCAGCAGAAGGGCTAGATGTTGCCAAAAACGGCAACCTGCCTCCTCCCTAACGCTCCCCGAGGCTTCAGACAGGAGGCTGCACACCTGCTTGCTTGAAGGGCAGAAAGGACTGCCCGGGAGACCCCCAGCCTCAGATTTAAGGGGGGGGAAACAGTTTGCTTTCCCCCTGGCATCCCGCCGGTGGGAGAACACGCGCCTCCAAATATTGGTTTTCTTTCTCTCCCCCCTCCCCATCCCTGCAGCGGGCCAACGTCTTGCTCACGAAGACTCTGCTTGGGGGTGGGTGGGCTGAGGGTCCTGGCAGCCATCAGCTTCGTAGGAGTGAAGAAACCCCTTCCCCAGCAGCTCTGAAGCTGCGGGCCAGGAAAGGAAAGCGAAAAGGAGTGGAGGTCGCGCCGTTGGACCGGTCCTCTCCCCCCCCCCTTGCTCCCCCAGCCCCAAATAATTTTGGAAGGCTGGCTTGTCTTTGCGATCTCGATCCAGCGCTGCCAAGTCATCAGTCTCATTTAGACGATTCGGGGCTGCCAAGCGACACCCAGGAACGGTGAGAAGCTGCCTGCGAATCCTGCCTTCATTAGTGGGGGCTGATCAGAATGCCCCGGTCCCCACCACACGGGGGGGGGCTCAGGTGTGGGTCTCCTCTGCCTAATCTCCGCAGCTGACACTCGCCGTTTTAATGACTTCCCCGGGAAGGCAGCCAGGAGACAGCCTGAGATCAAAGGAGACGCTCGGCGTTAAGCTGGAGAGCTGCCTCGCTAACTTGCCGCCCGTTGGCAGCGGGCAGAGCTTAGGCAAATGCTGGAGGGCGGGGTGGGGTGGGCAGCACCGCAAGACCCCTTTGTCCAAAGACGCACCCAGGTTTGGGTCTGCTCTGGGTCGATTCTTGCTTTTCGCCTCTCTTCTTTTTTTTTTTTAGCTTTTCTGGGATAGGTTCCTCTCTGCAAAATCTTCCAAGTGGGGGAGCAGATGATTATTATTATTATTATTATTATTATTATTATTATTATTATTATTATTGCTGCTGCTGCTACTACTACCACTACTACTACTACTACTAATAATAATAATAATAATAATAATAATAATAATAATAATAATAATAATAATAATAATAACAACAATAATAATGTTGGAAAGGACCTTGTCCAACCCCCTGCTCAAGCAGGAGACCCTATATCATTTCAGACAAATGGCTGTCCAGTCTCTTTTTGAAAACATCAAGTGATGGAGCATTCATCACTTCTGGAGACAGGTGGTTCCACTGGTTAATTGTCCTCACTGTTAGGAAGTTTCTCCTTAATTCCAGGTTGCTTCTCTCCTTGATGAGTTTCCTTCCGTTGCTTCTCGTCCTGCCTTCAGGCGCTTTGGAGAAGAACTTGACCCCCTCTTCTTTGGGGCAACCCCTGAGATATTGGAACACTGCTATCATGTCCCCCCTCGACCTTCTCTTCATTAAACGAGACATACCCAATTCCAGCAAATGTTCCTTATATGTTTTAGCCTCCAGTCCCCTAATCATCTTTGTTGCTCTTCTCTGTCCTTCCTTCCTTCCTTCCTTCCTTCCTTCCTTCCTTCCTTCCTTCCTTCCTTCCTTCCTTCCTTCCTTCCTTCCTTCCTTCCTTTCTTTCTTTCTTTCTTTCTTTTCCACTGGAGCCTTTCCACTGATTAATTGTTCTCAATATCAGGAAATTTCTCCTTAATTCCAGGTTGCTTCTCTCCTTGCTTAGTTTCCATCCGTTGTTTCTCGTCCTGCCTTCAGGTGCTTTGGAGAATAAGTTGACCCCCATCTTCTTTGGGGCAGCCCCTCAAAATATTGAGACACTGCTATCGCGTCGTCCCTGGTCCTTCTCTTCGTTAAACTAGACAGACCCAATTCCTGCAACCGTTTCTTCGTACGTTTTCGCCTCCAGCTAAAAAGATACGAAGGCTCAACGCTGGCCGTTTTCGTGACCGTCTGCCCTGTGAGAAGCCCGAGCATTTTCCAGGAAACAATAAGGAACAAATAAAATGGCCCATCCCTGTCCTGTAGGGATTGAACGGTTGTTTGATTGATAGAAGATAGAAAGGCCTTTTTTTGCCAATAAGAGCGCCAGAGACCAAAATCAAAGGAGTTTAGTGGGACTAAGCAGGAATTCCAGGATTCCGCGGCAGGTAATTTGGCTATAAATTGTTAAATGTAAATTCAGGTTAGCAGAGAGAAATTTTTTTTCCCCTCCTTCTTTTCCTCCCCTCCCACCCTCCCTGGAAAAAAAAAAGAAAAAAAAGAAAGAAAGATAAACTGCTGATTAATTCAGTATAGAACTCAATTACAAATTGAAAGAGCCACAGCGGGACTCCCGAACCCTAAAGACAACAGATGTTGAATTGATACTCCAGCATATTTTACACCGGTATGAAATATTAACATGGTTTATTATACTGGTTTTGGAGGGAGGGAGAAAGGAGAGGCTGAGGTTTGCCCGCCTTTTGAAAAGAGCAGCTGTGAGGGCTGTGGAAGATGGGTATTGTAAGTCTCTCTATAGCAAGCTCTTTGGGCCTTCCTTCATTTAGTAATGTTTGAAGGGAGGAAGACTTAAGCCAGAATCGTGGTTTGCTTTTCTTACGGGGCGAAAACGGCCCCAGATGAGAGGGACGCGTGTGGGGTTTTTCTCAGATTATTTCGGAAGGGACGTTGTGTCTCACACTGACATGAGCTGGGGAACACATTATCTGCCCAGTTTCTGAGGAAAAACACCACAAACAGGCCTGTCTGAAGGACTGCTGGACTAGGAGACCCATCATCCAGTGTTGAGGCCACCTGTATGGCACACCCTCCATAGCTGTGGACAACCGAGAAGACCAGCAGGCAAAGTCCCCAAAGTGTGACGTTTGTGGCAGAGTTAAAATCTATTCCAGGGATGTGAAACGACAGGCGTGTCATCATCTCCTCAAAGGGAGAAGTCAACGTGTGTTGTGGGACTCCTCATGCAACACATTTCTTGGAAATGTCTTCTTTGTGTGGAACGTAAGAAAAGTATTATTAATTACTCTTATTAATAATATTAATAGGAGAAGACAGAACTCTCGCTTGTCGAAGTTTAGTGGACAACGAGTTTAAGAAAGACCTCAGCAAAGTCCAAAGGGAAGAGTGGGACTTGAGAAGGACCTACCAGTCTCCTGGGCTTCTAGGGGGTCTCCAAAATGTCTTGGTTAGCTAAAAACAAAGAAAAGCTTAGCCCA